CATATACATTAGGAGTTTTCAAAGATTTATCAAAAGTCTTTGAATATTTATTAAAATTGAATATTTATAAAAATTTATTATTGCCAACAATAATAAATTTTTTATTTTATTTTATAAAAATTTATAATTTTTTTATTTGAGCAAAACTAAAAATTGTGTAAACAATTTTTTAAAAAATTCTCCATTGTTCGTCTCTACCGACTATTTTAGTATATATAACAATTATTATTTAAAAGTATAACTTATGTTAAATTAAACTTAAGTTATAAAATATAATGGAAATTTTGTTTAAAAATAAATGGATACAAAATCAAATATACAAATGTATAAACGGTAACATACAAATATAAATAAAACAGTAATATACAAATATACAAATGTATAAATGGATAAACGGTAAATATTCTGTTATTTTTAATTTTTTATTTTAGGTGCTCCAAGAAGTCCTTACGGTCTTATCACAGAGCACCGCGGATGAGCATTTAATAGGAAGTTCACGCCTCCTTCCCAACCGATGTCGCTAAACTTGCCCAGATGTGGGGTTTGAACTATGGATCCTTTGTTTCTGAGGCAAGTGCGCTTCCACTGCACCACGGTTGCTCTGCTTGTTATATATGATAAGCTCATTGTTAAATAATTTTGAAAAAAAAATCATGTTAAATGATTTTTTTTTTTCATTTTTATATTATTTTTTTGATAATTAATTTTATAATGATTTATTTTTTTATTTAAAATGGCTAATAATATTGTTTTATCAAACATGAAGTTTAATTCATAGAAAAAGTCAATTTTAAACAACTATTTGGATCCCGATTATAATTTTTTTTTATCGATAGTGAAGTAATTAAAAATACTAGCCCGTTATGCTATAATCCAAATTTAAAAAATATTGATAAAGGAATGGAAGATAACTCATTTTCAATATTAGAAGTATTCAAAAAAATTTTGAGTCATTGAAACAATTTTTACATTAAATTGACATTAGATTTCAGGTAATTTGTCTCAGCGAGAAATGGTGTCACGATATAAACCTGGTACTCAAAAGAAGCAGAATAATACGCTTATTTTGAATATAGTATAGTTTTAATTCAAAGCTAAAGAGAAAAAAATGTTGTTTTTTTTATTAAAAAGCCCCCGTCTTTATCAAAACGGGGGTTTTAAGGTATATTTATGCAAATATTTTTATCACTAAATTTTTTTTTTTTAATAAAATTATTATTAATAAAACAAGCATTTTTTTCTGCATTTTTTGAGTCCAAAGTTAACATAGTTTAGAAAAAAAAAAAAAATTCAAAAATATTAGGATCCGTCAAGGATTTAGAATACAAAGAGGAACCTCAAGATCTTATCAAAACCAAAAAATATTTTTTTACTTTCATCTTATCATTAATAGACATCGATTCATGTCTCAGGAATACTGATTTTTAAACTTTTTTTTTTTTTTGCTATGAAAATCGATCCACCCTATTCCCTAAATTGGAACACTTTGATTACTTAATCAAAACAGGTTGTTTTTAAAAAAAACAACCTGTAAAATCAGCAAAATTTTTAAAAAAATGATTTTCATCTTTACAGTGAAAATTTAAACAGTTAATTCAAAACTTATTATAGGATTAGTATTACCCTAACAAATTTAAAGTCTACAAACAAGAAATTATATAATGCTTCAACTATTATGACGTTCTCTTAGTTTATTGATTAAAAATCACTAAATAAAGTATTATTTTTTAAGTTTATGGTTGTTACTAAGTATTTTTTAATTGCACTCGAACTATTTTTTCAACCCTTTGATTTTATTATTGATTAGGTAAGGAAAACTTCAATGTTCTAATCAATATATATATATATATACATATATATATATATATATATATATATATATATATATATATATATATATATATATATATATATATATATATATATATATATATATATATATATATATATATATATATATATATATATATATATACATATATATATATATATATATATATATATATATATATATATATATATATATATATATATATATATATATATATATATATATATGTATATATATATATATATATATATATATATATATATATATATATACATATATATATATATATATATATATATATATATATATATATATATATATATATATATATATATATATATATATATATATATATATATATATATATATATATATATATATATATATATATATATATATATAGGGGGAGCAAGGCAATGAGGGGCTCATCAAAACAAAATACTTGTTTGTTTTTTATAACTTACTCAGTAATTTTTATAAAATGGTTTGCCAAGTAAATTTTTAAATCTTGCTTTTATTTTATTTATTATTTTAATTCTTAATATAAAAATGTGCCATGTTCAGAATAGCCCCCATAGAGGGGTTCTCTGAACAGAAGATAATGCATTCAAATATGTTTTTTTATATAGTTTTTCAAATTATATATTTACTTTTTTAGGTTACAAAATTTTAAAAAATTATACTGTAATGCTTAGAAAGCCGCCAGTAAAAATTTACTAAAGATCCAAGCTTTCAGCTACATCTTATATTTATTGCGTTAATCTTCCAATAGTTAATCTGTCTGAAGACATAAAAGTTATTAAAATACTTGTTCCAATCGAACTTTATTTTCTTTGTAGAAATGCAAAAAGAATTTATGATAATTTTGAAAAATATTTGCAACCTATGGATGCTACTTTATCACCAAACCAGTGAAACCAAATTTTAGGTTTTCAAAGGCCCAAGCTTCTACATAAGTGTTTTCATACTAATACAAATAATATGTTTAAAAAAAATTACGGTAACCAGAGTTTGGGAACCATATTATCCACAAACTAGGGCCCCAAGGTCCGAATATTTGTTAGGGAAGGGGGAAATTATACCATTATAAAATTCAGCTGTAAAATTCTCATTTAGTAAAAATATTTTAACGTTAAAAAGTTATGATCTCGTATAGTTGAAAACTCCACTAAATGGCGGGTGCTTCAAATTTTCCAATGTCGCCATTTTTAAACGATTAGAATTTTTTTTAGATAAATTAACTTTCCCGATTAATTTTAAGAAACTACAAAAAAACAAGTTGTTTTTTTTCCTATTTACATTTGGGACAGTGGGTCCCGATTTTTCAGGTGTATACTGTTCCTAGGCTCCTATCACTGTAACTTTTTTGTAAAAAATTCTTATTTGACACTAGTATCAATATTACAAAATTTAAAATTTGAACCATCTCCAGAAGTTACCTATCTTGAACACAAAAATCCATGACCTTCCCGTTTAACCCTGTTCAAAGTATCGTGGTTTCAAAAATGCAAACCGTTTCTGGTGGATATTTTTTTTCAAATAAATTATTTCTGCTACGGTGTGTCTACGAAAGAAAGCAAAATACTTAGATGCTTTTAAAACTTTAGATGATTCAGTACCAGCACCTGATGAACTAATAAATATATTGAAAACATATGTCTGTAACCTACATGGGGTTGAACAAGAAGAACCAGTTAATTCCGCTCATTACATATTTTAGCCTAGTAAATTCAGCAAGGAAACGTTACAACCAAATAAAGATTCGCTTGTTCTAGACATTAGTAGAGCTAATTATGAAGCTTTTATCAAAAAACGATCACATGTAGCAGTTAAAAACCTACCAAGTCCTTTTGGGAATGGTTGGTTTAATGATCAAGGTTCAATTACCATATCTTGGTTAGAATTGCCTGCTACAAGCTTGTGTAGGTTGCCCAGATCTTTGAAAAAGTAAATCATGGTGATAACCATCAAGAAGTGAATGATGACAACCAATCAGATGAATCATATGAGTCTGATAATCAAAGTAATTTAGATTATATTAAAAAATTTTAATAAAAATCATTTATTATTTAATATTTTTTGATTTTGAACTGCAAGATAAATATCAGTGGCAGGAGTATATACAGGAAATTTGGTTAATAATAATATTTCTGTTTTAATTTAAGTGCTCTTTTAAAACATTACATTAAAATGGCAAATGGCAAGTCTCCTAAGAAAACAGATGATAATAAAAAGCTAGAACCAAATAAAAAGATCTAAAACCTAGGCTACTTAGGTTTTAGATCTTTTTCAAAAAGATTTTAAAGTTTAAATGCTTTATTAACTTTAAGATCTTTTTGGTAGTTAACATAAGAATATACAAAACAAATTTGAAATCAAAACTATTAATTATTTGGTCGTAATTAAGAAAAAAAAAGAAAGTCATTTTTATTTTCTAAATAGAAACCGTGTTGGTAAAAACTAAAGTATGGTTTCTATATACACCAAAACTTTGACCTCAAATATCTGGTTTTTGGGAACTATTTTTTTGCGATTATTTTGTTTAGATCTTCAAGAAAAATTTCTCGAAATATAGTTACTAAATATATATGACGAACGTCTTTTTTTTAAAAAGCTTTTTCTGCAACAGACGCCGCCCTATTTAATTTTATTCTTTGAAAAACTATGAATTTTAAACGCTAAGCGATATATGTACATTTTCTTTTATATTATTAAATCAGATATATATATATATATATATATATATATATATATATATATATATATATATATATATATATATATATATATATATATATATATATATATACATATATATATATATATATATATATATATATATATACATATATATATATATATATATATATATATATATATATATATATATATATATATATATATATATATATATATATATATATATATATATATATATATCGAAACTATATTTTATCATTAAACTATATTTTATCTTGTAATGACGCATTTTTTGAGGCTTGGTGATAACACTGAATTCGTCTACTTCTAGCCCCGGTCATGTAATTATTTTTTATAAGTTACGACTGTAAATTTTTTATTGGCAAAAGTGTAAATAAATAAAAAATAAATAAATAGATAAAATAATGATGTTTAAAAACATTATACAACCTAGTTTTACTACTCTTAGATTTTAAACGTCTTCAACTTCTCATAAATAAAAGAAGAACATTATTTGTGTTGATAATGTGGATTTTAACGCTTTTGGTTTTCTACACAAGTAGCACAGGGTAATACTATTATTGCACAAATGAAACTTTATTCTAAACTTAAAGCTGATTTTTTAAATTAAAATTGTAATGCATGGTAATGCAAAAACTGGAAACTAAATTGTTAATAAGTAGAAAAATATATTCGTCAAAAATGACTATAAATTATTTTTTACATTTTTAGGACAGATGGTTTCACTCTAAATGGAAAAATATTTAAAAGCAATTCTTCTTTTATCAATAAAGAATTTGAAAAAAAAACAAACAGCAATTCAATACACAGAAACGAAGACAAACATAGTAACAGTCCAGCGATTTATAAAACAACAAATGCTATTTATCCACCTTCATTCAGTTCAACATCTGTTGATAAAAAACCTGCCAATCAGTTGCCTGATAACTTTCCTTCTAGCAATCTAGCATCAAACAATTTAGTAAATAACAACTTAGCATACGGAAAATCAGAATCTGAAATTCCACCATTTGTTAAATCACTTTTCCAAAATCTTATATTCGACAATCAAACATCAGTTAATTTAGTATCTAGCAGTGTTGCATCTGTAAATCCATCTAAAAACTCCTCACCTAACTCATTATACAACAGCGTAAACTATGCTAGCTCTTCATCTAGTGATGTAATACATATTCAAGTTCGGTATGATATGTTTCTTTGTTATTCTATTGTCTAATTGTTATATATAACTTATAAACAATCATATTTTCAGATTGTACACAAATACACGCTTGCAAAGCCATAGCTAGGCTATCCCACACACTAATTGGGGGGGGGGGGGAGGTAGGGGTAGCAAATTTAGGAGCCCGTTTTTAAATTTAGGTGCCCTTTTAGAAATTTAAGGAGATTTTGTTTTTAGTTATGTCTCATTGAAAATTTTTTATGAAATTAGGGCCTTAGTTTGATTTTTTTTTTTGACTATCATTAGATATTCATTATTTTGACTATCATTAGATATTCATTATTTTGACTATCATTAGATATTCATTATTTAAAAATTATTTTGAACATATGCTTTTTTTTATCGGATTTAAATATTTTTTCTTCTTAAGGTACCAAAAATAAACAGACATAGTGTAAATATTTTTTCTTCTTAAGGTACCAAAAATAAACAGACATAGTGTAAATATTTTTTCTTCTTAAGGTACCAAAAATAAACAGACATAGTGTAAATATTTTTTCTTCTTAAGGTACCAAAAATAAACAGACATAGTGTAAATATTTTTTCTTCTTAAGGTACCAAAAATAAACAGACATAGTGTAAATATTTTTTCTTCTTAAGGTACCAAAAATAAACAGACATAGTGTAAATATTTTTTCTTCTTAAGGTACCAAAAATAAACAGACATAGTGTAAATATTTTTTCTTCTTAAGGTACCAAAAATAAACAGACATAGTGTAAATATTTTTTCTTCTTAAGGTACCAAAAATAAACAGACATAGTGTAAATATTTTTTCTTCTTAAGGTACCAAAAATAAACAGACATAGTGTAAATATTTTTTCTTCTTAAGGTACCAAAAATAAACAGACATAGTGTAAATAAATATTGAAATACTTAAAACACTTTTCTAAGTTTTATGTCGAATTTGGTTTTTACATTTTTATTTTAGACAAAATCCAATAAAGACAAATCAAAATGTGATTTTTTTAAAGACCCACAAAACAGGCTCTTCTACTGTAACAAACATATTGCAAAGATATGCATTGTCACACCACTTGAATGTTGCGCTTCCTCGATGTGATCACCGATTTTGTTATCCAAATAAATTCGAAGAAGCTTATTTATACGAACATCAATTAGGAGAGACTTATAACATACTGTTTAATCATGCAGTGTTTCACAAGGAGAAAATGCTTCAAATTATGTCTTCTGGTGTTACAAAAATAGTTACTATAGTAAGAGAACCATTTTCACAGTTTGACTCTGCTGCACAATACTTAAACTTTAGAAAGTATTTCAATTTGAGTAATGATTCACCAATATTAGACGAATTTTTAAAAATTCCAGTAGAGCATTTAAAAAGATACATCCAATCCGTTAGTTTAAATGAAGGAGAAGGTGCTTTTGCTTTGGCTAAAAATCCAAATGCATTCGATCTTGGGTTTGACGTTTGGAATGAAACACCTGAATATATTCAATACGTATTAAACTCAATTACTCAAGACTTTAGCCTAGTAATGATCATGGAATACATGGAAGAGTCATTAGTTTTGCTGAAAAACGAAATGAATTGGGAATTGGAGGATATTTTATTTTACGCTCTTAATGCAAGGGGTGTGAAAGAAAAAAGCACAAATAACTTTGAAAAAACAAAAGAAAAGGTTTTGAGCTGGAATAAACTTGACGCTGCAATTTACAGACATTTTAATGAAACATTTTGGTTAAGAATAAAAAGTAGTTCTTCTGATTTTTATGCAGAAGTAAATAAGTTAAAAGAGTGGAATATTGATTTAGTAAATCATTGTAATGGATTGGTAACAACAACATCACTATTGTTAGTACAAAAATATAATCAAATGTCAAATTCTATTTTATGTTCGGATGTTTTTCGAGATGATATTTTATTTACTACCCAATTTAAGAGTAAGCGATATGCAAGAATTAATGCAAAGTTTTAAAACTTCACAAAATATTGAAAAATTGTTTATCCATTTATTGTACATAAATTACATACATAAATTAATTTATAGATTTTTAACAAACAAAAAAATATGTTTGAAGTTTCTTATATTCATTTTTTTTATAGCATTAAATATTGAAATCAAATAAACTTTCACTCAACATTGATAAAACTAAATAATTTTCTTTCATCCACGATTAAAAAAACATTTACTTTCAAGTAATATGCTTTTTCTTCATATTGATAATATTCAAATAAAAAGAGTAATTTTCACAAGTTTTCTAGGTGTCATTGTAGATGATAATTTATCATGGAAGAACCACGTAGGAATAATCTACAAATAAATGATTTATGCAAAGACAAAAATGAAACTTGGGACAAACTGAAGAAAAAGTCCATTTATTTTTCCAACAAAAACTTGGTGTTAAAGATATTGAAATCGAGCGTGTCCATCGCACTGGATAGAAAAAAGACGGAAGACCTCTGACAATAGTTCTTAACTTCTCACAGAAATCAATGCCATCAAGAAAAAATTGTTTATTGAGGTAAAACGAAGACGCTTAAACAAAGAGAATGTTGCGGTTCGGTAAGATAAATTAATTTGTTTTAAAAGTAGTATTTATGATAACAATAGAAAAAAGCCCGGTGGGAAATGAGCTAGCGACTAGCGAGCGACTATCTAGCTTTATAGTGATTTTCAAGCGATTTTTTTTTGTTATTTTATTCTTTACTAATATCTCTAACATCTTTAAAAATTCGATTTTCAGTGTTGAGTCTATTTGAGGATAATTGAACTTTAAACATTGCGATTTTGTTGCAATGTGTCGCTAGCTACATATTGTAGCTTTGTAGCTAGCTACAAAATATCTACAAATCTATTGCTGGTTGATAGCTACATGCCAAAATTTTATTAATAGCGATTTTATTACGATATGACGCTAGCTACAATAGCCTGTGAGTCTTTAGCTTATTAAGCTAGCTGTCCTCATAGCCAAATTGCCGTCTTTATCATTACAAATATTGATAGCTTTTCGCTAACTTAAAAGCTAGCGATCCTCGTGGCAAATTGTTGTCTTTATCGTAACAATTATAGCTAACTATTCGCTAGCCGATTTCCCACCGGAAGTAAACTAATTCACATTCTTAAAAAGAGCTCTTTCAAACATATATAAAACAATCATGGTACGTTTAATATTTTTTGAAAAATATTAACATTCGTTAATAGCACAGTTCATAGGTTCATTGCAATCATGGCTAACAATTTATAATGTATAATGTGAGATGTTTGAGTAAATTTTAGAACAGCGTTAGAAAATGGAATCGACTTGTAATTAAACAGCTTTGCGGTTACTGAATAATCCTTGAAGTCATGTGGTTTTATTTGAATGATAAAATAAAGATTTTTTCTGTTAACTTGTTTCAACATCTTTATCAATTTAATTGGACTATAAAAATCAGTTTTCCTTATGAGCTTTTAAATTTTGCTATGGGCATGATCTACCTCTTGGACGCATGAATAACCTGGAAGGGAATATTTCATAGCGATTGAGTTGATGTTAGGATTATCTCTTAAAAAATGTAATACAGCATTTGATAATATACTGATAAGATTTCGAGGAAGGCAGGAGTCAGACTAAGTAATTAAGTAACTTACGTCGTTGCCACTTCATTCAAACTTTTTCAAAAGGCACTGGCAAAATTATTGCCGCTTTCTTCCGTCATTGATTCAGTCCATAATGCACAGCATACATTTTAGGTTGTTGAAATATAAGCTGTCAAGTTATACACCCTTAATTTTCTCAGATAAAATATTTTACTCTCAAACTTGCCTCAAATCTTTATTGATGAAATTGAAATAAAAAGAGACTCCGCTATTAGTTCTGAGGTGTTCATCTCGATTAGAACATTACTTTGAATTAGCATATTAATTTTGTATGCACGAAAGTCTCTAAAAACAATGGAATTGAATACAAAGCTTAAACTGATCTCAATAAAAAATACTTAAGACAGCTTTATTTCTCATTTATTCACAGCAACATAAATTACGCTAATATTGCCTAGGCAAGTATTGAAAAAAGTAAATTACATCGTCTTTATCACTGTCAGAAACAATCAATTTGTATAATTAACTTTGCTGATCATTTTTCTCATTGTAAATCTTAAGTTGCATATTTTTATATACAAATTTTTATGTTTCATTTAGTTGCAAGAAAACTGTTTTACATGGTGAAAATATTTACCAATCTACATGATATGGAAATTAAAATTCAACAAGACATCTACTTGGATTCACTTATGGAAATTAAAGTTAAATTTGACAAAGGCCTAGAACAGATTCTTTCTTAACTAAATCTAAATCTTTCGTAGTGAACCAGGCCCGTAGGAACAAAAGTTATATTGGGCGGGGTAATACTACTGGGTAGATTAAATAGTAGTAGGACAATATTTTTTGTCAAAGGAATTTACGTGGAAAATACGGATAACAAATTAGGTCCTTTTTTATATATTTTTTTCTTTTATTTTTTAATTTGTAATCACTTGTTTTTTTTCTAAAATCTAACTTCAAAATTATTTATTTGAAAAATTATTGGGGGGAGGAGGGCAAATGCCCCTGCTGCCCCTTGGTTGCTACGGGCCTATGAACTATCATATTATGCAAAAAAAGTGTGTATATAAAGATGCGTAAAAATGGCTTTATGAAATCATACGAGATACATATAAACAGTGTCACAGACTCTCACATCTGTTACAGCTAAACAAAACTCCAGAAATTGTTTTGGTAATGCCATTCCTGGCACTGTAATCTTTATAATGGTTTCAGAACTCGTATTGAACAATATCCTACAGAAATCGAACACTGTAATGAATGAGATAAAAAAAACTTACGAGGTAATTTGGGTGTAAAAGTAAAACCATGTGTGAGATGTCTTTAAACAAGCAGAAAGATTTCCTTTTAACTACACTATTTAGTCAGAGGAGGCAGTTGTACAAACTTTCCTAACAGTATTTTCAAGAAAATTACTCGTTAAGTTTTGACCTAGCTGCATGATACATGAGACCTACGAGGAGGTTTAGTTAAAAATTAACAGTACTTTTTTTATTGACAATGCGAAAAGAGCTAATGGTACACAATAGAAGGGCCAAAAAATTTTATAACAAAGTAAAAGATACCACAGAGAAATGCAAAATAGACCTTAAACAGATTGAATTATGTGTAGATTACACGGCTAAAGTGGCATTACCGTACATACTCGTAAAAGATTATAATTTCAAGAAAATCACGGTAAACGTTATAAATATATTTTTTAGGTCCTAAGTAATCATTTCATAACTAGGAAAAAAACTGAAAAACTCAAGTTTGAAAATTAAGGGTCAAAATATTTTTTTATCTTTTCTTTAAGATCTTTACAAAAGCTTTACATGCTTTTGAAATTTTTTTACATGCTTTTGAAATTGAATATGAGCACGATGGATTTTTTGCGTAAAGTTTTGAAATATTTTTTTGATTTTCAGACTTTTTACTAATTATTGCAAAAACTAATTAGATGAAAACAACGACTACATCCACGCACAACACACTTCTTATATGGATCATATATAAATCATACTTGATATATGGATCATCAAAAAGAATCATTAGAATTAGGTTATTTTTGAGAAAACTTAATTTAAAATTGTTCAAAATTATTGTGATATTTTTCATTTTTGTTCAATATTAGCTTAAATATCTCGTACCTTTTATGAAGAGAAATAAAAAACATTCAAACATTACTTTTTTCTTTGCATGAACCTTTCCTTCCCGCATCCAAACAGAATCCTTAAAAATTACGTTGTTATAGTCGAATAAAACATGATTTATACATGGTAATTTCTTTTAGTTAGCGATTGATACTTTTTGATTCCATTTTCACCAACTTTCACGCAAAAAAACTTATGAGTTGTTGAGAAATCATGAAGTCTACCCTAAATAAGTTATTACGCTTTTTGCGTGAAATGCATGAAAATGGAATCAAAAGGCATCAATCAATAATTAAAAGATCGACTATGCCAACTCATTTTTAGTGGCATTTTTAAGATACATTTAAAATAATGCAAAACAAAAGCTATCGTAATTTATAAAACAAAAAAAAACTGTCGTAATTAGTCATGTATTATAGGAATTGAAAGAGAGTCTATGAACCATATAAAAAAAAAAAATTGCTGCAAGTAATCATTTACAAAACACAACTGCTATCACAGAACAAATAACAAATAATATGAGAAAATTTATCCACAAAAAATTGTTTAAATAATTCAAATTCAAAATTGTTTAAAAAATTCAAAATAAATAAAAATAATTTAACTCTTATTTATTTTCCAAAGCTCCTATGCAAACAAGTTTTAGTTCTATATACTCTTCAACACCGTGTGAAGATCCTTCCCTACCGAGACCAGACTCCTTTATTCCTCCAAAAGGAATCATTTCGTTACTAAAAAGACTTTCGTTAACACTAACCATGCCTACTTCTAATCTTTCAGCTACTCTCCATGATTGACTTGTATTATTAGTAAAAATGTACCCAGCTAACCCTGAATTCCGGCTGTTTGCAAGAAGAAGCGCTTCTTCTTCAGTTTTAAACTTTATCACAGGTGCCACTGGTCCAAACGTTTCTTCAGCTATACATTTCATATTAGTTGTGCAATCTCTAATTATTGTTGGTTCGTAGAACAACGAACCATTAGAAGACAGTTTTTTTCCACCACATACTATTTTACCCCCGTTCAGCAAAGCGTCGTTAACGTGGTCCTCAACTTTAGCAAGAGCTTGCTCATTAATTAAAGAACTCATATCACATTCAGAACTCATAGGATCTCGTACTCTTAATGCCATGGTTATTTTTTTAAACTCATCTAAAAAGGACTCATAAACATTCTCTTGAACTAGTATCCTTTCGGCGCAAATGCAAGTTTGCCCTGCATTTCGAAAACGGGATTTAACAGCTTTATCTGCAGCAAGCTTTATATCTGCAGAATCAAAAACTATGAAAGGTGCATTTCCTCCTAATTCCAAAGAAACCTTTTTAACAGTAGAAGCAGAC